AAAGATTTCATAATAGGTAAGCTTTAAAAGGCTTAGGATTGACGGCAGACTACACTAACCAGTTGGGTAACTTATCCATCGAATACTGACGCCAAGTATATGTAGGATCTGATACCAGAAATAATCCACTGGTGAGGTGGACAGAACATAACGCCATGACGTCGCAAATAAGTTGAACACTTGCAGGGAGATGAAGCTTTCTTGAGACGATGTTCCGAAGTTAAAACTGATTTGAAAACAGTCGTTCAAACGGATAGATGATGCATATCAAGGGGACAGAATACCCGAGGTGGTGGCATGCGGTGTCTACTTATGTCTATAGGTCATATTTATAGATACGACGGTTCAGTTATGTTTTGCAACACTTATAAGCTGGTCTCGCGATGGGACAAGGAAGATAAGTTAACAGAAAGGAAGGATTTCGAACGCAAAGAATGGAGTAAGGAGAGCTGTCGACGTGGAGCCTGGCCAAATAGTTTACCTCGTTCTATATGTGTAGCTATTAACTATGTCGTCCTCTGTTTGTGTATGCTTACTAATATTGGAGATGAGAATAGAAAACCAGTGTACATAACCTAGATGTCAAGGTATGTGGAGCAGTACAAAAAAGGAAAGAAGGTGCAGTAAATAGTTGAGACAAAACAGACTTTCTAATAGGAGCGGTGAGTAATTAGACAAAGTGCTGCGTCAATGGAACCTTGTCGGTGCCAGCAAAGCTGTTGGGCTAACTCTGTGAAATAAAATGGTCCAGCGGCGCCACAATAGACTAAGTGAACCTCCCGAACGTGGAGCTCTACGGGGTCACAGATAAGTCAGATGGACAGAGATACCTGAGAGGGACGTTTCGAGGTTTAGTACGTAGGAGAAACAGTAAAATTAAGAGAGTACTGGACACGCACTGTCCAGCTGTCAAGTGTGAAGAAGAGCGACGGTTCAGATACTCAAAGTCTGTAAGTGAGGGGAAGATGGAAGAGGGTGTCCAGCGATGCTAGGGACCTGTAACCCTGAAATAAAGTGTGGCAGCGGTGCCATAACGGTTAACAGCATTTGGAGCTAAACGGTGTCACAGGTAGGTTAGCTGGACACAGAGCAGAGCGGGAAAGCGACGGAATAATTGTGTAGGAAAACCTGCCTTTGTTGGGAAAGTAGAGGGAACAAACGGCCGAGAATTCAGGGAAGCAAGGGAAAGAGCCACACTGAATGGGTGGCAGATTCGACCCATCATTACGAGATAAACGGAGTGCTGGAGATAAAGTAGAAAGAGAAGCAGTACTAACAGGTAAGTGACATAAAGTGAGGTGAAGAGAGAATATTCACCGTTTTGTAAGCTAAATGAGGAAAAAAGTATCATTGAAAACGATGTAAACCAGGAGATGAATAAAGTTAGGTAGTATAGCCAAATAATTGGGGAGCTTTACACTAAGGTACGGAGGTAGTGTCAACGGTCGGTCGATGAAGCAGCGGAGGTAGGTGGTACGTACGAGGAAAGTAAAGCCAGAGCCAAATGGTTAAGATAAGAACTAAGTTCAAGGCAGAAGAAAAAATTAGGGAGAAGTGGGAAAATGCAGTGTTTCTGAAGTTAAATAGAGGAACAATTATTAGTAATAAAGATGTCAGCTTGAGAGAATGATTAAGGTGGGCAACGTAGACAAAAGTTGTGGTCCGTCACATATATGTAGAGCTACGGTGTCAAAGGTAAGTCGGAAGTGCAGCAAGGGTAGGTGGTGCGTAAGAACAATTTATAGCCAGAGGCAAAGGGATAAGTAAAGCAGAAGCACTAGGCAAGGGTACTAGGCGAGGTGAAGATGGGCAACGCATGGTTGTTAAGGTTAAATAATGGAACAGTCGTTAGCGAACGCGATGTTTGCTTGGAGTAAGCATACAGCTAGGCAACATAGACAAAAGCTGAGGTCATTCGCAATAAAGTGCGAAGCAGCAATAGCACTTGTAAGTCAAGGGAGCAGCTGAGGTAGATATTGCGTAAGTACAAAAAGGCGGAGCCAAAGGAATAAGCTAAGGACCAAAGCAAAGTGGGGATAAAATGGGAGGTGAAGAGGGAAAAGCAGTGTTAGTAAGGGGAAATAGTGGAACAGTTATTAGTGATAAGGATGACAGTTTGGGGGAAGGATGTAGGTGGGTAGCATAGCCAAATACCTGAGCCTCTACGCGCATTAGTGCGCAGTTACAGTGTAGAAGGTAAGTTAGTGGAACAGCGGAGATAGTGATGAGTGAGAGGAAAAGAAAGCCAGAGACAAATGATACCAGAAGGAATCGGACTAGGCGAGGGATTCGAAGCAAAGCGGCGATGGAAAATACAGTGACTAAGTTTAAATTAAGGAACAATTATTAATAATATAAATGTCAGCTTAGGGGAAGACTTTGGGTGAGCAACGTACCCAAATGCTTGAGGTCCTTCGCACAAATGTGCGGAGCTACATTGTCAAAGGTGAAACGGTGGGACAGAGGAAGTAGGTGCTGTGTGATAGGAAAAGAATGCCCGAGACTAAGAGATAGGTGAAGGCGTAAGACTAGGCAAGAATAAGAGGCGAGGTGAGGGCATAATGTAGGGTTGTTAAGGTTCAATAGTGGAACAATTATTAGCAAATGCGAGGCTTGCTTGGGGAAACGATACCGCTAGCCAGCGTATGTAAGGGCAGGTGTTAGTGGACGTAGTGAGTGAACTTGTGAAGTATAACTGAGTTTGTGCTTTTGGTTTCTGTGTTCTCCATCATACGAGGGGAGCAAAGGTGCCCTTCGAACTGGATGACGTTGGTGCTGTGGGTAATCTGCGACCGGGGAAGGGGCAGTGCGTTTATTTAGTGGCTGGTCACATCGACAACGTCGCAGTGTTGTTACCAGACATTTGTGGATTTTCGTAAGTAGGACACTTGCCGGGAAAAGACCTACCGCATTACAGAACACTGCCGCCTACTTATTCGCTGGGACATGCTTAACCCGAACCACCTAACTGGTAACTTGGGGAGGATTTTCGGCTAGCAAGAGAATAAATGTTCCAGTTACCGTGGGGAGAACACCTATTTCTGTGTCTTTTGTGCTTGATAAGTTGCTCTTTGCTTAACGATGCATTCATGTATAGAACAATGTATGCCTACCTTCCTATGCTGATATGCGGACTTGGATCACTATGGTTACTGCAGTAGAAAACCTTGCATGGCCGTACATGACAGTAAACTATTACCACCTTATTCATTTGACACAGGTTAACGGGTTTAAACATCCCAGGTTATTTGTCGTTCGGAAGTAGCTGTATGTGGAACGTTAGGACGGTCGGAGTGTGCCGAATTCTCGTTCGATGCGTTTCCATGCGAGGTTAATTAATGGCACCAGCAGGTTTCAATTTGCCTCTGTAATGGTCCTTCGCGTAAGCATTTGCTACTATCGGCTTTTAGTTTACGACTGAACCACGGGGAATACTGCTCTTTAGATATCTGGAGTTCAGTGCTCAGTAGGAAGAGGCTGAGGTTGGATGGAGGTTCTGCAACAAGTGCTTCCAGTCATGCAGTTATACAAAACACTGGAAAGAAATACGCCGATGTTATCTCTAGCTGACTGTGCACAATTTGAAGCGGCACACCCTTTACTACATGGATGACATTTGCAGGATACTATCGGAGCTGAAAAGTTCATTTTAATACGGCCGTATGCTGTCATAGGCATATCGGAAAAGTTACGAAGGCCATTTGAAGCACATGCAGAACAAGGTAAAAAGCAAAGTGGTTCACAGAAAAAAAGTTGCTTAGCTCGCTAACTAGGCAAGTGCCGCAACTGAACTTTCTAAGTAATTAGGTGCAATACGTGTTTAACCTTTCTAGTATGGTGCTTAGCTCAACACAACTAAATATTCTTTCGTTAGGACCTAACTGTTGCATTCGTTGCAATAAACGTTGACCATGCTGCGATAGAGTTGCAGTCTGTTGGGCGGAGCCTGGGATACTAGTCGGTAAGCAATGACACGTAAGACGTGTCAAATACGACAGTATAAAAGTCGGAGGAGACTGAACCCAACGTGTATTGTGCAGGCTACAAGAATAGGAAGCGAATCAGACAGAGCGAGAAACGTGCAGCGAGGAACTCGCCAAAACGGTTTGTGACAACGGACGTGCAGTCAGTAAAACAAATGGACGTTTCGAAGGTTAAAACAACCATAAAATCCAATGTTATAAAATACTGAAAGAGCTTGTTTTCCGTTGCACTACAAGGGCCTTCCCCTAGAAGGCTGACGGATGGAAGCCTTCGATAGAGCTGTTAGTGGGGGAAAATGGAAGGTGAGGGGGATGCGAATATTTGCAGAGGCTTGAGTAAGAGTTTCCAAAGCGGGTTGTGTAGCAGATTTCGCTGGGTCCAGGCTTTTGTTAGGTATTATTTATGCCGATCGTGTGGACCAGAGCGCATCATCGGTGAGCCGTCGGGGCGGGCTGGTCGGACTGCAAAAAAAACTGGCTAGTCCAGAAAAAAGGCCGACAGGACCTTCCCTTTGCTGCAGACCCGACGGTGCGCTTGGGAGGTGTCACTCCCCCCACCACACTTTAGTCCACGGTCCTCGTCCCACGAAGAAATCCAGGCATCCTCGTCCCTCGGAGAAATCCGGCCGTCCTCGTCCCACAAAGAAATGCGGGCGTCCTCGTTCTACGAAGGAATGCGGGCGTCCTCGTCCCACGAAGAAATGCAGGCGTCCTCGTCGGCAATGCCTAAGGGGCGTTTGGGGACCAATCCGTTCGTGGGTGTCTGCGATCGAGGACGACGGTCTGTTCCTTGGGTGAGGAAGGGGCTGTGGGACGGCTGGCGAGTCACTCCAGGGTTGCGTTGAGCCGGTTGGCGAGTCACTCGAGGGTTGTCTGGGCAGTTCCGGCGGTTGAGTTTCTGGAAAGTAAAACTCAGAGGGGGTTGGCAAGGGTCGGGGAAGTGGCTTGACGCCGGAGAGGGAACATGGCATGTATGATAAAAGCAAATACGCTTTTTAGGTTTTCAAAATGTTTTGGGTATTTTTTGTCGATTTTGCAAAATGTTAGTGGATGAGACGCAGGATAACCATTAAAGACGAGAAAGACGTGTTAATGGAAATAGCAAACGCTTACAAAATCTGAAACACGGACCGGACGTTTGACCTGTCTACCGCGTCGGTCGGTTGCCTGGGGTTGAGGCAGGATAGGTTGCGGGTCAAGGGGTACGGAGGGTTCCGGGTTATCCAGTGCTCGGGAAGTCACCACAGGTGCGGGTGCTTGTGCGAGAGCATCAGGATGGGCTGCAAATGGCTCGTCAAAGAATGCCACTTTGAGGCGGTCGATGGACACCGTTGTTCGGTGACCATTGTGTTTATAGTAAAATGTTTCGGAGTCCGTTGCAGAACTCTGAAAGGGCCAGTGTAGGGAGGCTGGGGAGGGCGCCGCACTGCGTCGGTGCGGAGGAAGACGTGAGTGCAGGTAGAGAGTCCGCTGTGCATTTGCACATCTCTAGTCTGTTCACGCGGCGGGGTCGGGCGTAGTGAACGCATGCGTTGAGCTAGGGAGGACGCAAAGTTAAGCGGAGGCATACCCGACGATGCGGGAGGTGAAACGAATTCTCCTGGTAACTTGAGCGTCGTTCCGTAAACCAGCTCTGCTGGTGCACATTGCAAGTCAGCTTTGATGCTGCTGCGAATGCCTAAGAGAACGAGCGAAATGTTTTCGCTCCAGCTAGGGTCGGAGGAGGCGCAGAGCGAGGCTTTAAGCTGTCTATGGAAGCGTTCAACTAACCCGTTGGCTGCTGGGTGATACGCTGTGGTATGAATGCGGCGACAACCTAAAAAGTTGCAGAACGTATCGAATTGTGAAGATTCGAAAGGCGTTCCTCGGTCGGTTGTCATGGTGGATGGGCATCCGTAGTGCGAGACCCACCGGTTCAAGAAGGCCCGGATAACAGTCTCAGCTGTGCAGTCTGTTACCGGAATGGCTTCTGGCCACCTGGTGAAGCGGTCGACACATGTAAGAATGTATACAAATCCGCGTGACGGAGGCAATGGGCCTACCAGGTCTAAGTGTACATGCGAGAACCGAGAGCCCGGGGCAGGAAATGAACCAAGAGGACTGCGGGTGTGACGATGTACTTTAGAGCGCTGGCATTGAAGGCAGGCGCGAGCCCAGGTACGAACATCTTTGTTTACGTGTGGCCAAACGAAACGTTCGGTGACCAGTTTTAAAGATGCACGGATACCGGGATGTGATAGTGAGTGCAGCGCGTCAAAGACTGTGCGTCTGAAGGAGACGGGCACGAGAGGTCTAGGACAACCTGTGGAAGTGTCACAAAGAATGGTTCCTTCCGTGGTTTGGATAGGAACAGGTTGCACATGCAGCGAAGTGGACTGCAGAGTGCGCTGTATGTCTTCGTCTTAAGCCTGAGCCGATGCCATTGCGGCAAGGTCGACGGTAGGCAAAGACTAGAGAGTGAGGTTGACGCGTGAGAGAGCGTCGGAGACGGGATTGTCGACACCTGAGACATGACGTATGTCAGAAGTGAACTGCGTGACAAAGTCTAGGTGTCTTGTTTCTCGTGGTGAGTATTTGTCGGAAGCAGAGTCGAAGGCAAAGATAAGGGGCTTGTGGTCAGTGTAGACCGTGAAAACGCGGCCTTCAAGTGTGTGCCGGAAGTGACGTACCGCTAGGTAAATGGCGAGCAGTTCTCTGCCAAACGTGCTGTAGCGGGATTCCGCTGGCTGCAGGCGCTGGGAGAAGAACCCAAGGGGTTGCCATTGCTCACCAACGTGTTGTTGGAGGACGGCTCCTACCGCGACGTCTGAGGCATCAGTCGTAATAGAAAGAGGTGCAGTCGATTCGGAATGAGCGAGGAGGGCTATGTTGGAGATAGAATCCCTGAGCTCGGCGAAGGCTGCCTTTGCTGTGTCAGGGAAAGCGAACTTACGTTCATTTCCTCTGAGTAGGTCAGTCAGTGGCTGCATGACCTGAGCGCAGCGCAAAATGAAGCGTCGATAGTAGTTGACCAAACCACAAAATCGACGGAGGTGCTTGAAAGAAGTCGGACCTGGGAAGTCCTTGATTGCCTGGATCCTATCAGGAAGGACTTCGATACCAGACGATGAAACAAGGTGGCCTAGGAATTCTACCGTTGATTTGCCGAGTTCGCACTTAGTCGGGTTGACTGTGACACCGTGTTGGGTCAAGCGCTGGAAGAGAGCTCGAAGATGCTCGAGGTGCTCTTGTTCCGATGAACTGGCTACTAAGATATCATCGAGGTAGGAATATGCGAAGTCAAGGCCACGAGTGAAATCGTGGATGAAGCTTTGGAAGGTTTGTGCGGCGTTGCACAGTCCAAATGGCATTCTTGAAAATTCAAACAAACCGAAAGGAGTAATGACGGCTGTTTTAGGAATGTCATTGTCTTCCACAAGTATCTGGTGATAGGCGCGAACCAGATCGATCTTGCTGAAGATCGTCTTACCTGTGAGGCATGCGGTAAGGTCCTGCATGTGTGGGATGGGATACCTATCTGGGACGGTTAGGCGATTGAGTGCGCGGTAATCACCGCAAGGGCGCCAGTCACCAGATTTCTCGGGGACCATCTGCAGAGGCGAGGACCAAGGGCTGTCAGAAGGGCGGATTATTCCAAGTCCAAGCATGTGCTCAAACTCCGTCGCAACGAGACTGGACCTTAACGTGGTGCGACGGTTTGCGTACCTCATTGACCCATTGAGCTATACTGGGTGATGCCTCCGAGCATCTTGAGAGCTACTCCTACCAGGTTGGTCAATGGTGAGAGGTCAGACCAACTCAGTCTCCTGGGTTTGAAATGGGATGGCGTCCATTTCTGTAAAACTAAATCACTGCCACCCCGCTGCCTTGCGGACAGGCTTTTGAGCCAAAGGCTTTGGATGAGGACCCAAATCGTCCTCCTGTCTAGGTCTGGGCGCCCTGGCAGTATCCCAGCCCACATACAACCATGACATTTTCTTCAAACATAAACTTCATCCTGCATCGACCGCCGCGCAGATTATCAAGGGTCGCCTTATCTGCTGCATACAGCAGGGCGGATAAGCGAAAGCATGCTACTGCTGGCGCCTCCCTTCTTTCTTTTCCACCTTTTTCTCTTACTCCCATCCCGGCCCCTATTATTAACCTTCCTTCTATAATTCCCAGCTTAATTGACAGTAACCGAAGTGCTACTGGAGTAGTACCGTCTGCAGCCACCATCCCAAAGCACCTATCGGACGCCTGTCGGCAAAAGTTCCTTATAAGTCCACGCTGTCCCGTTTCCATGGCGACATTCAACGCCCACACTCTAAGACAAACAGGTCAGCAGGCTGCACTCGCACGCACCTTGGACACACTGGGTATTGATGTGTGTTGTGTATCCGAAACTAGGATAAATGACCCTAACAGGGTTATTGAAATGACTGCACCCGGCTTATCCTCTCGTCATTGGTTGCACGCATCCGGAGACGCCGATGCGGCACTCACGGGTCAAGCTGGTGTAGGTATCATTCTCAGCTTCAAGGCTGAGTCATGGTTGGTTGATTGGATTCCGGTGAACAGCCGTTTATGTGCAGCCCGTTTGACGATGCCAGCTAAGGTGAATTCGCGAAGTAAAACAAAACACTGTTTGTTTGTGATTTCTGCTTATGCTCCCACCGACTGCAGTTCTAATGCAGTCAAGGACATTTTCTATCACGAACTGAACACGCTGCTACGCAGTGCTACTAGTTCAGATATTATAGTACTTGCAGGGGATATGAACGCACAAGTAGGGCGTCTGAGCTCTTCAGAAGCTCAGCTGGGTGGTAAATATGGACTTAACGCCGAGCGGACTGACAATGGTGAGCGTCTGCTGCAACTGTGTGCGGAGCACCAGTTGTTTCTTACTAGCACTGCTTTTAGACACAGTGGGCGCCGAAGTGCCACTTGGCGTCCACCTGTAGCTGGCCAGCGATGGACCCAAATTGACCACATAGCCATAAGTTACAGGTGGCGCGGTTCCATTCTGGATTGCCGCTCGTACTGGAGTACCTGTGTCGACTCTGTTCATGCCTTGGTGCGCTGTCGTTTCTCCATGAACTTTACCGGAAGGCGCACAAAGCGTCTCCCCTGATTGGCAACGGAGAAATTGTCCCAGCCCTCTGTCAGGCAAGCCTATCAAGAAGCACTGCATAGTGAACTCTCGCTGTCTTGTCCTAATGACACTGAACTTCAGTGGAATAGAATCTCGGCCACTATGCACGACGCAGGAGCATCTGTTTGTGGCACTATCAGTCGTCATCGCACCAGTCACTAGACATCCGAGAGGTCCGTGAACCTTTTGGAAGCTAGAAGGCACCTCCCGGCTGGTTCTGAACACAATGTGACCAGACGGGCTATTAGGCGTGAACTAAAGCGGAGCCTACGTGCTGACAAGGAAGCCTGGTGGACCAGTCGGGCTCAAGAAATGGAGGAGGCAGGAGCAGTAGGCAATTACCGCAAGCTCTTCCAGCTAACCCGCACCACTGGTCCGAGAAAACCAGGCGTCAGTGAGACAATCAGACAGCGCGGGTGCACTGATACACACTAAGGAGCGCCGTATGGCTCGTTGGGTGGAACACTTTCAAGGTCAGTTCAGCTGGCTCCCTGCTCCCGGACCTCTTCCTACTCAGGTGATGCAGGACGAGCCATGGACGGTTAGTTTAGAGCCTCCGTCGGAGGCCGAGGTCCGAAACGCGATCACAGCCCTCAATCGTTTTCGTGCCGTTGGCCCGGATTCCCTCCCACCTGCACTATTTAAGGATGGAGGTGAGGTCCTCTGCAAAGCACTGACCTCCTTATTCGAACGTATCTGGAACGAAGAGAGTGCCGGCTAATTGGAGCGAATCGATTATAGTGGCAATATACAAAAAGGGCAGTCGCACAGACTGTGCGAACCACAGGGGTATTAGCCTAACGCAAGTTGTGACAACTACTGGCCTCGATTATCGTTCGTCGCCTCACTGCAGAACGGGAATCTCGGATTAGGGAAGAGCAGGCTGGTTTTCGCCCAGGACGTGGCTGTATAGACCATATATTTACTTTGCGACAGGTGCTAGAGCAGCGCCACGCATACCGCAGACCGACAATAGCTGTGTTCCTCGATTTCAAGAGTGCGTTCGATTCAGTCGATCGATCGATTCTGTTCGAAATACTTGCGCGGAAAGGTGTTCCCACGAAATATGTGAACATCCTTCGTGCTCTATACTCGAACACTAGAGGCCGCGTCAGGGTCTATGGTGTCCTATCGGATAGCTTTTCGACTACAAGTGGCGTTCGACAGGGTTGCCCGATTTCCCCGTTTTTGTTCAATTTCGTCGTGGATTCTATCATGGAGTGTTCCCTTGCGGAATCTCACGATGTAGGTGTTGAAGTGCTGCCTGGTGAACGGTTAGTTGATCTAGATTATGCGGACGATATCGTCTTGCTTTTCGACAATGTTGAGGCGGCACAATCAACCCTGAATAGCCTATCCAGAGTGGTCCCATTATTTGGTATGCACTTCGCACCTTTAAAGTGCAAAGTGTTGCTGCAGGACCACCAGCCACTCGATGACCCCTTGACGCTTGCTAACGAGGAACTCGAAGTGGTTGATCAATTCACTTATCTTGACAGCTGCATCAGCAATGATGGGCGCATAGAAACCGACGTGAGCTCACGCATTGCAAAGGCCAGAGCTGCCTTCTTGAACCTGCGTCATCTTTGGCGACAGAAGGGAGTTTCCCTCCGTCTGAAAGGCCGTGTATACAAGGCCACAGTGAGGGCCGTTCTGCTGTATGGTAGAGAAACTTGGCCCCTTCGGTCTGAAGATCTGAGGCGCCTTCAAGTCTTTGATCATCGTTGTCTGCGTAGCATTGCTGGTGTCGGATGGCACCAGCGTGTCCGCAACGATGATGTGTGTAGGCGAATACTAGGTAGTGGTAATCATGCTAGCTTCCTAGAACAACAGATAGCACTGAATAAGTTGCGTTGGCTGGGGCACGTGGTACGTATGCCTGGTCACCGCTTACCTAGGAGGGCCTTGTTCAGTCTACCAGGTGTAGGATGGCGCAAGGCTCGAGGTAGACAGAAGTTGACTTGGCAGCGGGAAATGAAGTCACTGGTCCGTCTCGCCTTCCGGGTTGGAGTCCACGTGACTCACCTTGTGCTTGGCTTGAGACTTTACAGGACATGTCTCGCAACCGATACCAGTGGCGCGTCTGCTGCCGTCTCCTCATCGGATTGTCTGTTTAAAGTGTATTTGGTGCTGAGTTATCTGCGGGGTAATGGCTGCTTATGACGCGTGGCAGTGAAAGCTGCAAGGAAGCTGTCTCGCTGATGCCGCCTTATCTTTGCACGATAGCCAGCTGTTTGTGACGGAATGTTGTCTACACAAGGTGTAGGCGCCTTGACCCAGAATGTTTGCTTAGGGCATTAGGGTTTTCAGGTAAG